GTGGACTGGTAGGGCCATCTCTCGGGAGGAAGAAAAAGCTTAACCGTGTTCGTTCGCACGCCGCCAGCCACGCTCTCGTCCGCTCGCACGCAGAGCCACAACAACGCGCTGACCTAAACGATTTACATGTTCGCGGTCCCAGCGCACAATGTACGGGCTTGAGCCAGAGTACATTCTGAAACTATATTCACTTACACTTGAAATGGCAAGTACCGAGCATATCATTATCTCTTTTCATACGATGAAGTTGCCGTACTGCGGCATTGGCCAATAAAGAGCACCGAAAAACTACGAGGCGAAAAGTGTGCACATAGAAGTTAGCCTATTGTGTGCACACTTTCTTAATTTGCCAGCGTTTCTTAACTTGCCAGTGACTTTAGTAAACCGCTGGCCTCCCCCCTTAGACAGCTCTGCTTGGATCTCCGCGTTTTCTGCAGAGATGTATCGAGCGGGTATTCGTTTTGTGTGTAACCCAGAGTAGACGCCTAGACTTGTACACGTTGCCAAAATATACAATAACCCCCCCCCCCCCCAAAAAAAAAAAAAAAAACGGACAAAATGTTTTTTTGTTATATTTCTATTTAAACAAAGAAATGAACTAGGATAATATGTATCTTACCAAACACGTTCTCAGCAAGTATTGAAGTGGCCGCCCTCGGCATATCGATGCAGAATCCAAGCACTTTTTTTTTATATTTTCAGTGATGGGCCAAAGCTCCTCCGGTGTGATTCGGTCCCACTTCCGACAAAGCGATTGCTTTAGCGACTGACTCTAAACTTTCCTGGCGCTTAGCACAAGTGAGATCAGTAAAAAAGCGTTTGTTTAAGAAGACAGTACGTTCTCAGCGCGTACCTGCGGCCCGGTGTTGAAGTTAGGCGGCATCTTTCGAGCCGGACTCACTTTCAGTCCGTGAATATAGTTGAACGTTTTGAGATGTTGTACCGCAGCAAAGGCTAGAAGCGCGAGCTCATAGTGTTGGCAGCTGCCCTTGGTGCACGAGAGCTTGTGCCGCCGAGATGTGCCCTAGAGCAAAGAGCTCGCGCTTGCAGCCTTTCCTGCGGTACAACAAAAGGTGAAACAGAGTACAGGGCTTGAGTTTCAGCTTCTTTTTAGCCGATTGCCGCAGCGATTCTCGTTAGATTCCGGTTTCATGAGTGATTTTCCTCATAGAGACTCTCGGATTTCGTTCTACTTGCTTCGGATTGATCTCACGGTGGGCGGAGGTGTTGACAGTGCGCTTTCTTCTTCTTCCGGGGCATTCGCCTTCGTGGCCGAGCTCGTGGAAATGTTTGATGGCATCAGACACTGTTTGGCGAGAAACCTTGAGCAATCGAACATTTTCACATATACCTTGACGAAACAGCATCAAAACCGCAGCAGTTGAAACATGACAACATGCAGCCTCTGTAAGCACGGAAGACGAAGTAGAAAGGACAATAGCTGGCTCGCAACTAAAGTTTATTCTATTAAAAGAAAACTTCTTCAACATATTACGCAAACACAGATGTGATCTGTGCGTATAATCTGTTTAAATTTTATTTTTTATGGAATAAATATTTTGCGAGTCAGCCGGTGTCCTGTTGCGTTCGTTTCTTCTTCGTCGTTCGTGATTACTGAGCCGGCATTTCATTATATTTTACTGCTACCAACTAGCCCAATTTACAACCCTACTTCAGCAGCACGTTTGTTTGACATTCTCAAAAAGAAAACATAAAAATAATAATAGCAAAAAATGTTACTGGTACGAAAAAAAAAGTTCACCGAATTTAAATATACGCAAATATTTTTCTTTGCAAAAATGTAAACCATTTTTGCAGAGGAGGCTCTAAAGCTTGTCCGGGTTTTTCTGGGTCACATTGGTAAATAAAATTACTTAGTTTATTATTACTCTAGGTCAAAAGCATCGTATTAAATTACTTGGTTTTCTCGACTTCAAAACTAAATGCACATAAAAAAAAATAGCTGCTACTTTTGAAATTACCCTGTGAGAGGGTGTGATTATTGCCGCCATGTTTGTTTTGAGTTTGGGATTGAAGGCCCGTTTACACACTTGCATTTGCTTAGGACACCATATAGAACCGAGCTCTTGGGTTTTTTTTTTACGACGAAAGAAGACTGGCACGCTGGCGCCATCGACGAGGCGACCCTGGAACTGCATTTCAGTATAGCAAAGGTTCTGCGGTACTTGAGAGGTCAAATGTACGGACTATACCTATAAGAAACGGTAATTTATTACGTTGTAAAACATTTTACTAGCCAATAAAAAAGATTATTCTCGAAAAAAAGTAGGAAATGTACGGGAACTGAGTGTTCTACGGACACCGGATAGATGGCAGCAGTGGTTTTCTTTGTCCCAGGAACTTTTTAAGAGGTTTTGAGGCGCACGGAGCAGTCGCAAGTTTGTGAAAGGGCCTTCAGGAGCAGTCTACCCACCCTGTGGCCAAACCCGACGCCCGAATGGCGCGCACTACGCAGCTTCTCCACACCAGAAGAAGAGGACGTCTTCGAAAGCATAAAGCAGAAAGCAGAAAAAGATGTTGGTCCTTTCACGCCACCTTCGATTCACGAGATCGAGGGTGCTTGATTTAGCCGAGTATGGTCTCCTATCACCGCCCTTAGAGCGGCAATATGGTAGCTTTTGCCACTTCCACAAGGTGACTCTGACTTTAGAGAGGGGCATATTCCACTCGTCGTATTGGTGCGCTCCGGGATCGACATTTTTAGAGCGCGCGTCCGCCGCCTTTTCGTTTGGTATGAACCCGGATGTATTTCGCTCGTCGTTTTGGAACTGCGCTGACTCCGGAGATCATGAGCTGCCGACTTCCCCTGAGCCGAGCGGAAGCCGATCTCTGGAGGCACGTGACTTCCTGCCTCGCCGAGCATGACGGGAACGGCGGGCGACCAGGCGGCTCGGAGCAAACAAGCGCTTTGCGACCGGAAATGACGATAGCCCAGCGCGATGGGGAATGCCGGGTGGACAGTCGGCCACTCCCGGTGGTTGTCGTCTTCCGCTGGTGCAGTTAGAGGCCTCGGAGGCTCCGCACGGATCGCGTGCTCCATAGCGGATTTAGACTTGCGACCCAAAGTGACCTGTGGAATTCGCCATTAGTGAAAATTGCGAAGTATCGGATTAAAAATATGATCCTGCAAGAAAGTAGAGTGAAAGAGGTGGACTGTATTAGTCCACGTTTTCTGTAGCATGCGAAGTTTCTGAACTCTTTTACAATCTCCGTCACATGTTCATAATTTTGTGACATTTCGCCTAGGTTTCATTATTTTCTCTAGATTTTGTGGTGGCGTAATCTAGGAGGGAACGGGGTTCAATCAACTCGAAGGTCCCTGTAGCTTACTTCTTATCCTTTAGGCTCGGATTTCGTCGTACGGAGAAATAAGGTCGAGCGTGTTAACGCGGCGCAGCTCAAGGCACTTGAAGAGGAAGCTCGAACTACAGAACCCAGGGATCCTGGGCTCAATCCTATATAGGCCGCTTCCCGTAGTTGAGACTGCAGCCACAGCTACAAGCGCGAGCTAGACCGCGCTCCTGGCTTTGAGACATGCATTTCTAGAGCGAGTGCTCGTTCTCAACGAAGAACTCTTCAAATTCAGCAACCTGGAGCTCTCGTGCTTGTGGCATTTGCTGCAGTACAGTAGACAAGACGAGGTCATGTCCGCTGGGCTCTGGACATGAAGCGCATGTGTCGCCGGCGCTTCGTTCTTCTTTATTCAAACCTCTTGCCACAGTTCCTAGGGCTCAGAACAGCAGCGCCACCGTGTCGTTGCACAAAATCTTCACGCGGTGGCCGCCGCTCTTTTTGTCTGAAAATGTTTTTAATAATAATAAGATGAAAGAAACATCAGGGCCAGGTCAGCTGGGCTTAAGCCGTCGCTGCTGTCCTGGGGTGGGGGATGTGGATTAAATGAAGTGAGTCAGGTGAGCCTCCTTAATGAACCGAAGGAGGGAGTCGAATAGTTCTTTTCGATGCTTGAGTGAGCCGGATGGAACCCAGGCTAGTAGTTGAACTGCACTGGTGAATTTCTCATTTACCAGGTGAAAAGTTGGCATACTGGCAGAGCGACTTCACTCTGTCGTAACATTGAATGTGTAAGGTTCTTTTAAGCGTTGCAAGAAATGAAAACATTGCTCGCAAAAAGAATGTTACACTTGAGAGATGGAAGCAACTTGGCTGGTCTTAGTAAAGCTCCTGTTCCACGTTGCTCGGTTCGGTTCCTCGCACTGATTTTGATTGCCGACAATATATAAGACTCGCTCTAATCTTATCTCATATTGGTGATGTGCTTAACATCACGTGGCGCCCACGTCAGAACCTCAGGCTCCCGAAGGAAAGAAGTTCGACAATATAAGAATTGTTACTGAGGATTTACTGACTTGAAAAGGTAACCAAACAGCTTGTTTGATTAACCAAAGGAATATTTTGAAACTACAAAGATAATACTCTAGAAAGTAACTGACAACGAGTTTTCTGAATGGTCGTAATGCCTACTGTACAAGGCTGTAAACGCCAAATCTTACGCTGACCGCTTTACACAGTGGTTTAGAGGCATGTCTCAGTCGACGGCAATGGTTCTGGGAAGGGCAGCTACGGGAGCGTCGACGCTGGACGTTTGGTTTCAAAATGTGTTGCGAAGTACACGCAGGACCTTGCACGTCGTGCCGTGAATTTTAGTGTCTTTCCTCGTGGCGTGGAAAAAGCCGGATGACCCCCATTGTTCTGATAAACTCCTCGCCCCTCAAGGCGAGAAAAAGACAGCCCGTACTTTTCTCGTTGAAAAAAACGAAGAAAAAGTAACCTACGTCTTTGTTCTTCTCCCCTAAATTCGCTGACGCTCGTAGCCGACGTATAAAGTGATCGGCAGCAGGTAAAAACCACGCAGAAGTGGCGTGCCTCAAAAACCGCCGCCATCTTCAAGTACGGCACAGAAACCGAGATTTTTTTTATTTTTGAATTTTCGTTCCAAGAAGTTTACGTGAAGTCGGACACGTCCGCCAAACTAGGAGAGTACGTCTACTGAGAGGGGCATCTGCTACTTGGATCGGATATTCGAACTCTACGCGGGAGGCGCGGGTAAGAGTTTCATTCTAATTCGTTAAAGTTTAGCTCTGAGTGAGACACGATCACGCTGTAACTAGATCCACTCTGAGGGCAAGGACTGTAATTTCCTGCTTACACTGGTACTGGGCTGAAATACATGAAGCGGACGCTGCAGGATCAGAACCCGGGATATGCAAATTTCAGTCTGAATAAACGTCGTGCCCTGCGCGCGTTCGTGTAATCACGACTGCATGTTAAAAGGGCGGTGCAACGATTTTCGAACTTCAGCCAAATAATTGTGGGTGTCGGGCTCGGTCATTACTAGATGCAAGAACAGAAGAACATTTCTGCATCCGTGCGCTAGCTTTTTTATTTAAAAAATAAAAAAGCAAAGATCGAAGTTTTCGGCGCCTCTCAACTCGTGCATCGGCGACAGAGTATTTCCGAGTCCCGTGCGGAGTGGCATCTCTGGGGTATCATGTCACTTCCGGGTAGAATCGCGCGTCGGCTCACGCGACGCTTCTCTTTTGTCATCGGTAGTGCGTTCCCACACCCGAGGAAACAAGATGTTGCCAAAGATGCAGCATAAACAAACCATCCCCCCCGCATGCGCAGGGGGGGGGGGGGGGGGGGGGTGGTTTTGTTGAATTTTGGTAGATGGCGCCACGACAATTCAATACCATTTTAGGTATAACACTAAATATTTTCCAGGCATTGCCCAATGCTGAAACGACAACATTAAGAAAAAAAAACTTAAATGGAGCAAAAAATCGGGCAAATCGCTAACTTACAAATGACATCCCCGGAGTACGGTTTCTATAACCGCCACTTTTCCGGCAGATTGGCAAATAAGTCGTCTTTTCCTTTGCGCCTACGCAGCGAAATCACTGTATTTTGGGGGTAAGATGTATGATTTAGTTTACTTGTGGAACTATAATCAATATAAAAAAAAAAATACAATTAGGTAAATTCTTAATTCTAAAAATCGTTGCACTGCCCCTTTAAAGACCCCCAGTTAGCAGTCGTATGCTGCACTGTATAAAATTTTATTTTACAGCTTAAAATAGTGCACCCATACTATAGCGAACCAACCACATTCTGAGTAACCACTTACATATAATTTGATTGAATTTTTGGCGGAAAGGCAGTTAGAATATAGCAACCCGACCAACGAACCACTTAAGCCGCGTTCCTTCGCACTTTACGCCTGTGCACGCAGCACATACGGACGCTTAGGTATCTTTCGGTTTCCCACGTAGACATTGTGTTCTGAATTGTGTTGCGTGTATGTTTATAGAGCCGGAAGCCAGTCAGCCCCAATGTAGCTGTAGTAGTAGCTTCACATGTATGGAACAGTGATGTTGGTGAACTTTGACAAAATGCTGGAAGCAAAAATCCCAAAAATCCGTATTTTATGTGGAGTCTGCGTCGCTTAAAAAGATAATTATGATGAAATAGCTTTTTCCAAAATGAAACTTTATTTTTTGGAAAAAAAAAAAAAAAAAAACCTCCTCCTGTGCTTAAAACAATAAAAATAAATGAGACAAGTTTTGTGTCAGTTTCTAAAAGCATAGTCTGTCGCACGTTTTCACATATTATTAGCAGCTGGGCATTCTTTAATAATCTCATGACACGTAACTACTTTAGTGAAACTGGGTGGCCACTTAATGATACGAACAGCTTGATTAGCCGCGATATTTATTTGATTCTTCTATCGATTACGGCCGACATTTTCCTTTGGCAGCAGGACCCAGGCGACCCGAAAATACGATTTCGCCTTCCATGTTCGAAATTATTAAATACTGGCATATCTAACGGTTTTACTAGTTTTCTTTCATTCACTGTGGGCGTAGAAAAAATTGAAACGGAATCACTTATAGCCCTTGCATCTTAAAATTAATTAACTCTACGTGATGGCCTCTAGTTACACCACGACCAGCTTGTATTTCTTTATCAAAAACTATAGGTAGCACGAGAAACGTATGTAAACAAGATCATACAAATGTGTCCATCGACGTAATGAATGTTTTACGAATTCTTCTATTTCAGAACTGAAGCAAGTGTATTACCTGACGACGCACCGAACGCGGCAAGATGTCGTTCACCTTGAACCCCGTCAAACTAGCCAACGAACTCCAGCGGATGGGAGACCCCAGAACCCGAGATTACCCGCTGGTCATGAACCCTCTGTTCGTGTTCCCACTGGTCATTTTCTACGTATATTTCGTCAAGGTTCTTGGCCCACGCTGGATGAAGAACCGAGAACCCTTCCAAATTGTCAACCTCATCCGCTTCTACAACCTTGCCATGGTTTTTCTCAACGCAAGGTTCCTCTACATCGTTCTTATCAACACCTACCTCCCTGGAGGCCGCTACAGTCTCTGGTGCCAAGGCATCACGGGTTACATGGACGACCAGCTCGCCCAGTACTACAAGTCCGGTTGGTGGTACGTCGCCGTACGCTACGCCGACTTCCTGGACACCGTCTTCTTCGTCCTGCGCAAGAAGTTTACACACATCACTCACCTTCACGTCATCCACCACACCATCATCGGCGTCAACACCTGGTTTTGGGTCCTCTACGCTCCGGAGGGTCAGGCTGCACTTGGTCTTGCCATGAATGCCTTCGTGCATACTATCATGTACGCCTATTACTTCCTGGCAACTCTGGGGCCCAGAGTGCGTCAGTATCTCTGGTGGAAGAAGTACCTGACCACGATGCAGATCGTGCAGAACGTCATCTTCATCTCGCACATGTGCATACCTCTCTTCTACGACTGCGGCTTCCCCACGTACCTGATACACATTGCGAACGCACAGACGTTTCTGGTTATGTGTCTCTTCATCAACTTTTATATTCAGACGTACGTTAGGAGGCGGCGCCCTCTGGCTGAGAAAGCAGTGCCCACCGCAAGCGTTGACGACGAAATGAAAGTAAAAAATGGGAAACACGACTGAGCAAGGCTTATAGTAGAAATATACTCAAATCCTCAAGTGCCATCGCTGACTAAAACTTAGAAGTGATGGTAATTCACCGTTGGAACAACGGCACGTAAGACGAAGAGTGGGTGCCTTTACGGGAACTAAGGAACCAAGCCGTCATGAACCCTTAAAAAAAAACAAAAAAACAACAACAAAACAAATAGGTTCAAGTCAAATTTGACGGACAGCTGAGTGCAACGTGTTTGTGTGAATTTGTAAATATTGTCATTGCTTGGCAGTAATGTTTAGACTAGGGCTACTGGCGCACTGATTGTAGATTATAAGGGTATTTAAACGTCTAAATGCACTGTTGAATGCAAAAAAAAAAAAAATTGTAATTGATAGTGACCTTTTTTCTTTGGTCCAGTTGAAAAAATTGAATGTCTGAGTTTTTAGTTGCCATTACATTGGCACGCGAAAGACAAAACGTAGCCGGGGCTGCGCGGAACTTTAATAATAACAAAAAACGAAAAAAATAATCTAGAATAAACTCCTAAATATTTAGTTTTAGTTTCGAGAAGATATTCGTCACTAGGCTCGGACCTCAAATAAAATACGAACTTGCAAAAGCAAGGTATGTTCATCGCAGAGAAATGAAGTTCATCTAGTCAAGGTACAGCAAATGGCGCTTCAGATTGAAGTAACTTTCCAACGTTCTTTTTTTTTTTTTTCTCTCAAAATAGTAAGACGTGCGAATGTTTTGGAGGCATTTAGAATATTACCGGCTATAGGTTTAAGACGAAATGAGTCACGCTTATCTGTGTTCTGTTCTCTAGATTTTGTATAACCAGACTGTTAAGGCTCTGGTGCATCACCCCTCATAAAGAAATCATCTTAAAAGCTCTGATTCTTTATAAAAGAAAACAATAAATTGGTGTGTATATTGTGATGCTTTCTTTATTTCGACATCGTTGATGCACATATGGCGAATTCCATCAGATGTAAAATATTATCAACATAGACTAACTATGTTGCGTAACGAATTCATGCCGCTTCACAAACGTGGGTTACGAATTAGTATCCGGGTATTCAATTAGGTTTCAATAACTTACGTTCTTTTTTACATCTACAAGCGAAGAGGAAACAAGGAGGGAGGTATGAGATTCTGCGTACTTGCACGCATACCATCGTGGAAGTGTTTGTTGGCGTTATTCCCTCAACTATATTTGATAGCGCCGTAGCATTGAGAATAATAGCTACTCCCACCGCGTGGTGTCTCCCGTTCAAACAAAGAAGGATCGTGCGTTCAAGGCAAGAACCCCGAGCGCAGGGCTGCGAACACGGAAGGTCGAAATTTCCCTAGCGGACGCCTAAATCTTCCCTATTTCTGCCGAAAGTTCTCTCACTTTCCCAAATAATTATATAATACTAAATATTAGTCGTTTTTTGCATCACTTTAATTTTTACTAAGAGAAATATATTTATATGCGGAGCGCGAGTTCATCTGCTTCTTGCACAAGGGTTGCGAAGATGTGAAAACGCCAAACTCTTATTGACTGAGTGAAAAAAAAAAAAAAACAATGTGCGGGTGCAAGGCATCTAAGATTGAGGTCTACCCTCCTTCCTTTCAGCCGAAGCCTTTTAGTGCTCAGCGTCGTTCTAACGTCCCCGCAACCCCTGCGCAACAAGCAGACGACTTGCTTTACGCATAGCCTTTACACCTCGTGTACGTTTAGCAATAAATTAATTTATTGGGTGTTGTTCTTGTAAGCGTTGTAGTTGAAAAGGGGGGGGGGGGGGGGGGGGAGAAGGGAGCCAATTGTGTTGGCTCCCTTCTCCCCCCCTGGCTCAAGTTTATCGGGCCAAAACCGTGGCCATAGCAAATCTGGCAAAGGAAAGTGTTACCGGGAGATTCAAACTGGCGAATGAAACCCTATCTTCGCCTTAGATGTTATGCAGGTCGTCAGAACCAAAACAAAAGGTGTAGCACAAGCGAGAGTTCTCAAATTCGAGCACACGGGACAGGATGGCACTACACGGAATATTATTAGTCATGGTAAGTCTATATGTCCAGACACTGCAATATTTCTTCTTGTACTCAAGCTTTCGTTTTTTTTATTTTTTCGAGAAGGCACAGCGGCGATCTCAGTACCTTAGATTTGGCTGGTACTGCATTCCTTCATAGTTTTCTGGGGGCGATGAAAACTGAGTTTGCCGAAAGAAGTTGGATGGATGGATGGATGGATGGATGGATGCTAACGGCTGTTCCCTTTATATTGTGCGGCATTTAGCGCCACCTAGCCTAGTTTTCCCCAGTGTCGCCAGATTGTCGCACCACAAACCGCCAAACGGCTGAAGGAAATAACACAAATGTAGCCAAACTCGCTGAAATTCGACGTTATTTCGAAGAAAAAAGTTCACCTACAAAATTCCATATATATGCGGAGCCCAAAAATTTCCCAAAAACTAGCAAGATTTACCTGATTACCACGTCATATAGCTGAATATTACCTTACTCCGGGAAATTTCCCTCGGGTTGGCAGCCTGCCTGAGCGCACGCAATGCCGCCTAGAACAAAAGGCCTGTACACTTTACGCTATCTTCAGTGGGCCCCCGACCATCCCCAAGTGAGAAACACCCCGAAGGCCGACGGGAGTTGACGCCAAAGCGGTAGGCACGTGCGTCTGGGTTTCGCCACGTGCTACCGGCCCGCTCCTTGTGAGACGCTGCAGGACAAGCTGGATGTGACGCTGTGGCACAAGATAGCGCGCTGCGCGGATGAGAACTGCAGCGCGTGTCTTTGAAACAGACATGTCCGAAACGCGTTGCCAGAAACGAGTTACTTTTACCTAGTTACTTTTCTCTGTAACGAGTAACCTATTTAGTTACTTTAAAACTAAAGGAACGAGTAACGTACTTAGTTTGAAGGCCAAGTAAGGAGTATACGTGTACAACACCGTTTAAACAGCCTTGTTTTCATTCTAACCTGAGTATCGTCTATTGCGATAAATGCAGATACGCAACCCGAGAAAAGCAAAAAATAAACTAAACAAACTAAACACTATGACAGTATTAGCCTCGAGAACATAGAGTGGCGCCACCTGACGGCTCCTGTCGTGACGTATGAAAAGGCGTCACATGACCGCATCTGCGCTTTGCTGGTAGCATGGAGGTTGAGGCATATCGTCCACAATTCACGTTCAATTCGCTATTTTGAACGAGAGTTTACGGTTGCTTATGACTTAAATATTTTTGTTGTACTTCTGCTCAAAATTAAACTCAATCAGCGCGACAACAGTGGCGTCTCGACCTCTGAAAAAGGACCCAATGACCCGGCCTCGTGTCATCGTACTGTTCGCGACCAAGTCGGTCGTGGTCGTGGTTTCGGAGGCTTGTCAAATGAGGAAAAGCAGGTAGATTCTGAAACGGCATTGTTCCCGAAGCGTTTAGTTTTTTAGCTCATCGGAGACAGACAAAGCGAGCAGAATGCAACCGCGAGGACTGTTGAGTAAGCGTCGAACATGACATTCCGATCGCCGGTTCTTTCGCAGTTTGCTGACGCGGCTTTGAGGCTGCTGTGGCCCATCAAAGCGAATCGAGTGTCCAAATACGACTCGCGTGCGGCATCAACATTGCATTAGCTTCTGCGGTAACTTTTCGGCCTCGATACTACAGTTTTAATACATCGTTCCGATGACATCGATAACGATAGTCGATACCCCGCCGCCGCCTTTTCTCATGCATTGTATCGTTATCGGGGGTATCGGCGGTATTGGGAGGTTGAGCTGTATACGTCAAGAAAAGCAGCAAATAAAATCGACGAGTGTGTTCTTCCGACGAGAGCATTCACCACCACCGGGCAACACTTCGAAAGTGACAAAGGGGACGACGAAGGGATAAGACTCACCTTCTAACCGTAAAATCTAGGTCAAAGTTGAAACTCAATAAAGGTCCACTTAAAAATATATATATATAGATAGGAAAGAATTACGCGAACATCTTCCATTCAACAAGACAGCCGGTCGTAGGCAGCGAGTGACAAGCACCTTGGTGGCTACGGCCGCTAAAGTCGTTGGGGTTGTTCGGAATCCGTGGATCGAGCGTCTCTTACCGAGCATTGTATAGTTTCAAGTACGTATTTCTTATCTTTAGCTGCTTGGAAACGGGAAGCGCCGAAGAGCGTGTAGAAATGCGTTCGTTTGAATCCACGGCGAAGTATCTGAGCGGTGTTGGCAGCCATGAAGCTATCGTATGATTCCATCGTAACCTACACACATTCCGATCGTCTCCGTTGGCGTATTCGGATTTGTTTTTAGTCCTTGACCTACGCACGTTTTACGTTAAAGCAAATAAAAAAAAAAGACCGCATCTCCACGTGGTGAATGATGTTGATTGGGGCGAAGCTCTGGTGGTGCTGATGATACTGATTTTATTGTTCATAGGTAGTGCTCATGGTGCTGATTTTTTTTTTTTTATTGCTCATAGCTAGTGTTGAGTTTCGGGTTGCGTTTCGACTTAATTATTACTGCTGTATGGTCGGTGAAATGCAGAGCCAGTGGTTCTTCTAGCGGATCAGCTTGGATGCGCTAGAAGCCGTGGGAAGGCATCTCCACCGCTTAAGTCAACGGTCCATGTCCGAAAGAGGATGTGTGGTATGGAACGTGATTATATACGCATTTGAGCATTTGACCGCAGCGCCCTCTCGTCTATAAACATTGAGCCAATGCATGCAAAGTTTAACGCGATTATATACGCATTTGACCGCAGCGCCCTCTCCTGTACAGACGTTGAGAGGCTACATGCAACGCTTCATCCATGACAGAAACCCCAGCTCTTGAGTTACTACCACATCTCAGAGCCCCCTTATAGTAATAGTAATAGAGCGTATACACTCTATTACTAATGGTGTTTTCTTTCTTGAGTGGATCGATGGATGGACGGATATGCGGCTGAACCTTTTGAAGCGAGTGGCAGCTTACACTACGTAGCCATTTCTTTAACTGTCATAGTTAATGTGTACTAGGCTAATACACCTT